TCCAGTATCTGTTGTAATGGACCTTCATAGGAAGGGTGTTTTTAGTATGCCTAGTAAGTCAACGTATTTACTTGTTTTCCTACTTTGCTTTTATTTTAATATTATTTTCTGTCGTAATTTGAAGGCAGTACCTCAAACCCATTTGTGGTACCATAATTGGGATCCGTGGATTGGTCCTCACACAAGAGGTGTGGATCTCATACTCAACACTGAGCACAAAAAACCTCACAGAGGCTGACTGACGAACTTCTTAAGCTCATAGTATTTAACTTGTTAAATCAGTTTCTGTCATAAATGTGTATTGTTGAATGTTACTAAACAAACTACGCTATGTTCATTACAGATGGAAGTTGTGCGTTCTCTGTGCAAACAATGTGGGAAAGACCCCAAGGGCTCACGGATGGACCTGGTAGGAAGACAACAAGAAATGAAGAACAGAGCGAGCTGTGACAGGTGACAGGTTTTCACAGATCTGGGGAGCTTCTGGTAAGTTGTGTTCTATTACAGAGAGACAATTTATGCAAACAATTGCAGTTCTTTGAGAAGTGGTTTATGTTAATGTGGTAACAGAAAGATGAACTGCAGTGCTGGAAGCTTGAAGTCTCTAACTGGTGGCGAAGGTGTGAACACCTTCATCAAAAACAAACAAAATCATGTGTAATTTGTCCACATTAGTGAGGAGTTTCAGATTCAGTTATTCTAGTTTCATGGAATTTAAATAGACTCATATGGTTCATGATCTGCGCATGCACAGAGAACCACTTAGTGTAGATGTTACCATGACAATGAGCATCACGTGAGTCCAGTCAGAGTGAGGAAGACGTCGTGTCTGGAGACACATAAGCTGGACGTCCGTCCCACCGCCGTCTTTTAAAGATCAGAGCATAAACTCCGTCTCCTCCACAGACCAGTTTCTGCTTCGCCATGTTGAACATTATAAACTTTCACTATGAAAAACATTCATATAAAAATGAATTATGACTGTTTTTGCTCAATAAAACTGCACAAAAGCTCTAAGTGGAGCTCAGAGAGGAAAATAAAATACAGACAAATGTAGGATATGGGCTCTTTAAGACGAGGCAGACTCGCTAGTCTGGGTGAGATAGAGCGAGATCAGCTGACGCCAAGAACTGAAGTTAATTTAACGTTAATAAAACAATAAAAATGATGAGCTGAATCTTCATTTTATCTGTGAAAACATTCCCTTTTCACTGATCTGTACAGTGAGGCCCAAAACCCCACTGAGAAGCTCACTGAGAATCTGAGATTTCTTCATGAAGCCTTCTGAATGAAGAAGAGATGTTAAAGGTTCTGCTCTGGTTCTAGATCACTATTTAAACTGGAGCAGATCTGAGACGCTGACCATGTTAAGCTCTTAGTACTAAAAGCTCAGGTTTGTTTTTAGTCTTGTCTCTTTCAGTGAAGCTCCTGTTCAGGTGGATCTTATCTGCTCAGCAGAGGCTTTTAGACAGACTTGTGGACTTCATGCAGCTTGAGTGCACACTGTCATTAAAGGGACAGGGACACCCCACCAAATACTGAGAAATTCATGTTAAAATTTCAAAGATTCTACTGTTGCTGATTTGTAATGAAAAAGGTACATTACATTAGTAATGAATGCCAAACAGAAGCCTTTTTTCTAGTGCTGTCAGACTTTTGGACCCCACTGTACTGATATTTAAATGTAGCTTCTTTTTGACTTTCACTAAAGTATATATTTTGGCTCCACATTTCGTTTTAATCAGTAAAAGTTTGACGCAAAATCTCCATCCAGAGATTTCATCTCCTCCTTCACTGAAGTAGAGCTTCTCTGTCCTTTTTCCTCCTCTGCTTAAAGTAAATTCAAACATTTACTGCAGTTTACTGCAGGAAACTCCACCCGTACTACAGATTACTGTAAAACAGCTCTACAGGAGCGTCACACAGAGGAGGATATAGATTATTACAGCAGGATTATACACAACTATAGAGTTTATTACAGTGTCACTCTAGATTTGTACTGTAAGGGTAATGAAAGAGTTACAGCACTTAATCTTAAAGCTGTCAATCAGCAGAAACTCTTTCTGACTCTTTCTGATTATGTGATAAATATTTGGGGGATCTGAGTAATTAAACAGCAGCTTCACTATAATTCACCTGTGAACATGAAGCAGATTTAATACAGCAATATTTTACCTGAAGTATACAGGGAACAATAAAAGTACATTTTTATTTCATGTATTTTACGGAAATTCACCCAAAATATAAAACATTTTTCATTGAAGTGTTGGAGTGTTGCGTATTTTTCACTGTATATTCCGACAGGCGTCATCCGTCATAAAGGCTACTTTAGCTAACTTTGATGAAAATTGGCAAACGTAACCTTTATAGCGAATGACGCCTATTGGAATAAGTATAAACATTTATGTAGGGTTTATGTATGTCAGTTGTCATGACAAGCTTATGTAGGTGTCATATAGCCTTATGAACAGCACCTTACAGTAAAGTGTTACTGTATTTCCTAACATACTCTTATGAAACACGACACACTTAAAATTATTTTTAAATGCCATCAACCTACATGTGGATTTTTAGTATGTTTTCTAAAGAAATGACTTTTAAAGTTCGCTTAATTACATTTTGTAGCATTTTCATTGCAATATATTTCAAATTAAATGCCAATCATTTTGATATTGATACACCTAAGAGTTCACATTTAAAATATGTTTAATTTTTAATGTTTGTAATTTGTATTTTAATATATTTAGTGCATGTAAGTCCTAGTTTAAAACAGAAAAGCACTTGTAGGCAAAGAAGATGAATTTCAACATTAGTTAAACATAATTAAAGTGGGTATAAGTTGTATTTAGTCATTTCTAATATATTTTAAACTCAAAGTTTATACATTAACTGTTTTTGAAAGTATACTTGAATACATATTTTAAGTGTTTAATGTACTTAAGTATATTTATGTGATTTCAAATGCATTTAAGTATATTTTGGTTGCAGTTTAATTCAGTAAGCAGGACTGACGTGTTTCAGTAAATCGAGCAGAATATTTAAAATATATTTCACATGTAATAACAGCTCATAAGATGTTCAAAAAAAGCACTACAAAACAAAACTAAATGCATTTAATATATTTAATTACAGCTAAATTCCGACTTAAACACGTGCATTATCATAAGATGGACAAAAACAATACATTCAGTCTGAACTAAAGAATCTTTGAATTTTCTACTTTTCATATTAAATACACTTTTGAAAAGTTCACTTGAATGTATTTCTCTTCCTCAAGGGTCACTACAGTTTCTCCACTAGACTGTAGTCTGTCCCTCATTGGTCAGTGAGCATAATAGACTGTAGAATGTTGTTTGAAGTTGCTCTCTGATGTCATGATGGACTAAAGGCTACACGGTGTGAAGTCATAAAGGTGATGCAGATAAGTTCCGTCACACTGCCGTTTCACAACATTCTGTGTGGAGCCCCGAAGAGAACAGCTGCTAAAATGAGCTGCCTCTGGTTCTGGTGCTGCCGAGTCCATGAGGATGACGCAGACACAGAGCGTGAGAGAAAGGAGGAGCAGAATGAGAAGAGAAAGAGAGGAAAGAAGGAGAGGAGCAGGAGGAAATGGAAGATTCAGTGGAAGAAAAGAGAGGAAGACCAACATGGACAAAGAAGAAGAAGAAGAAAGCCAAACAAACCAGCAGCCAGCAAAGGTGGAGGAAGAGGCCAATGTTCTGGACCTGCCAGTAGGCCTCGTGTCCGGCAGTCTTAAAAGTGTCTCAGCTGAGACGCTGGAGAACACGGCACCTCCACTACAGGAGAACCTCACTGGAGGGATGGAGGAAACCATAAACCATCTGATGAAAACGCTGCTGGATGAGGTTGAGGCAAACATGGAGCAGCTCCTGAGTGAGTTAATGAGGAAAAATTCATTATAGACACTGAATAATAGTAGAGATCACCAAATATTCATAGTAGATACTGAATAATTCATAGCAGATACTAAAAAATATCATAATAGATGGTGAATAAATCACAGGGGATGTTGAACAATTCAGTAACACTTTATTTGAAGGCTTCCTACATAAGGGCTTCATAACGCATTCATAAGCACTGAATAATGTGTTTATGAAGCACTACTTGAACATTTATTAAGAGCTTATGCCAGTACTCGCAACATGACATAAGATGTTTTATGAAATAAATGACATTGTACTGACATAATATGAATAAGCATTGAACATATTTACAGCACTAAACATATTTAAAACACTATACATAACTATTTATGTCAGCATTCTCAAGATGACATTGTATTGATATCAGGTGAAATATGCCTAGAAACCACTCCTCTTCCTTCCACAGTATGAATAAGATGACTGATGTAATTTTATCTCACATCAGAAGGTAGATTATGACCATTTATTTC